GAGAGAGAGAGAGAGAGAGAGAGAGAGAGAGAGAGAGAGTAAAACGTATCCCAATTATGACGGAATTCAAACAAGTGCTCACATTTTAAAAGCCGTAGAGAGCACAGTAAATTAATTTAGCAAAATGAGGACTATACTTGTGGACTTAGTTTTACGAAATCATAGAAGAGAGCCCCTTTATTCGTACAGAAGTTCTGGGCTGTCAAAGAATGTGCTCTGCGTGGTGGCAGTCACGAGAGACAGTCTCCTTTGCTCGGCGTTGAAACGTGGTTTATTACCTTCTGGCACTGCTCACGCAGATTTTGTCGAGCATGGTGTTTTATGTTTTGCCTCAGTTCACAAAGAAGGGAAAATGTCTGACCACACATCTAATCTTTAAGTCTCTAAGGTAGTCCCATGGTTGGAAGTCCTTGGGCTCAGGTAGGAATACCGTCAAGTTCTGACACAACGTATCCCGCGACTTTTGTCGGAGTGATTCTGGTTCCACTCAATGACCACAGCCGAAGTGTGCAGAGCTGCTCCCTCTTGCTTGAACAACTGGTGTTTCCGCTCCTGATGTCCCACAACATTTTCTCGGTGATCTTCGTAACAGATTCAAAATCTTCAGACAACGATCTGCTGTCACTGTTACAGCACCATCGTCTTCAACCATGAACAAGCCGGGACCACTAATTCTGTACTGACTCGATTTAACCCTCGTTGTAGCATTCTGTGTGTGTGTGCAGGTTTCGGTAAACGACGTTGTCTGTTTTTTTCTGAACTCCAGTAAATATGATTTCTTGGGTTCACGTCTCCGTTCAGATAGAAGTGGACTTCATCGCCAAACCACTCCTTCCATGAATGAAAAGGTCTATTATTAGCACGGCACCTCAAAATCGATCGACGCATTGTGATCCGTTCCCTGGTGTGTTCACATAAAATACCTTTGTATACCTAAATATGACATGCCTTCAAATGGAGATTGTGTCTCAAATTTTCTGTGAACAAAAAGTATGAAAGGTG